GATCTCTGCTACTATTATTTCCTTTTTCCTGCTTGCTTGGGGTTTATTTGGCTACTCATTTTCTAGGCTTTCAAGATAGGATTTTAATTATTGATTTGAGGCAAAAAAAAAAATCGTATTATTATTACTAGGTGGAAATTGACGTTCTAAGTTCCCAGATGGCCTCCACTGGTACCTCAGGGAAGGTAGCTCATTACTAGATCCTCTGTAACCATCCTACTGGGAAAGTAGAAGGGTGCCTCATTGCTGCTGTGTGGGAGAGTAAGTCCATGCTCCTTGTGTTCTCCAGTGACACCATGGGAGTTGAGGAGGGGCTCCCTACTGGCCACAGGGGATAAACGCAGTGGCCTTCCCTGATAGCACCCCAGCAGGAGTGTCGGTGTGCCTTGTTGCATCCTTATGAGGAAAGAAGTCTAGGATCCCCACTTGGACTTTGTGGGACTACAGTGCTTTCCCACTGGCTATATATAGTAGGGTGCTCACTATCAAAGTCTTCTGCTCCTTTTTTCTGGTCTTTTGGCTAGACAGAGTAGGCTTTTGCTGAGGCTTTTCTTATCTGTACCTTTAGGCATTTCAGGTTACCTGCTTCTTCAGCTCCAAGTCTCAGATATAAGACACAAAAATAGAACTCAATGAATTCACCACTATGCTTTTACTTGGTTCGTAGGTCCCTAGCTGATCTGCTGAGTTCTGTCTACTTTCCAAAGTTTTCTTATATTTTTTTATATATAATGTCCAGGATTTTTTATTTTTCTTCATAGAGAGAATAGAGGAATGTATGCCTACTCAATCTACCGAGAAGCAGAAGTCCTACTGCCTCAATTTTTAAAACTTAACCTGCATGTTAAGAAGGAGAACATATAGAATACATGGTGTAGATAGAAAGGAACATGGCATTTTGTTGTTTTTGTTTTACAAAATTAATGAAACTAACTCATTCCAATGACTGCTGCTGATATCTTGAAATCAACTACTTTGAATTATCCTTTATAGATGATTCTGTGTTGTTGAAATTGCTCCCAGACATTTTTTTTAAACTCTTTTGGATGTAATTTTAGAAGTTGATGGTGTCCAGTTGCATATTGTCATCCTTTGAAGCTATGTTTGACTTTTGGAAGGAACCCTAAAATGATTAAAGAGTCAAGATAAGTAGTAAGACAAATGACCAAACTGGGTAATACACGTCTCAGTCTAACACTTTTTTCTAAGAAAACGGTGTGAACCAAATTATTGTTGTCATGAGGAAGTCATTTCTTTTATATCAATACAAAACCTCCAAACACTTTAAAGGTAGCAAAATCAACATTTCTTTTCCGTGGTGTTGACAGTAATGTTCCCTTGGGTCCAATGGATATTGGAGTTTTTCTCTGTAAACATACACCTTGACAGTATTTTTCTCAGGTCAACTTGAAAGCACTGCATTCCATCACTATTCTCCTCAAATACATGTTATTTTTCCAACCTCCCCTTGAAAATTCAAAACAAATGTCAGATCTTCTCTATTGCTTTTTATCATTCAAAATGTGTAGCACAGGCTTTACAGAAACCTTTTTTGTTCAAACTCCCCTTCATTATGAGTCAGTGTTCTCATAGCTAACCCCCCTGTCTGAGTAAATGCCATCTCTGACATTTTCTGCGTTTTCATCAGTCCTTTGTACTTCCCCGTGAGCACGCTTATTACCTTTCTTAAGCCTTTGTGCCAGTCAGAAAAGCTTCCTCATCACAGTCCCTCCACACTGTAATTGTTCTTTTAGATATCTTGTGTCCTGTATGCCTGTTTCGCTCACACAAAACTTAGTGCTAATTTCTTGCTTTCTATAGCTGTCATTCCCATTCTCTGTATCATATGAAGACTGGGGGGGAAAAATTGCTGCCGATGCAAAGAGAATCATTACAGATGTTTCCTCCAAGCCCATGTTATATTTTGCCAAACCATAGAAGAACATGAGCTCTGTCACTTCCTGATCGTAGAAAGATTGCTAAATGCCACAGAGCATCAGCCTATTTGCTTAATTATAAAGTTCTAAATCCCATACATAGGATCTAAAATGGGTGGTAGACCTAAGTCCATAAGTAGAAATGGCCCTTTGGCAAATTAAAGAGCTGCTAAAAATTTTAATATATTCATCCTCAACAACCTGACCCTTCTGTTCCTTTGCATGACTCCTTTTCAGTTCACTATGATAGTCATCGTCAGACAGCCTTTGTTCAGATCCTGACCCTGCCAGCTTACTGGTTGGCAGATGACTTGGGAAAGTTACTTAACCTCTCCAAGCCTTAGTTTTTCCCTCAGTAAAATTGGATAATAATAATTATCTCTAGTGCTATTACAAGGATGAAAGGAGATAATACATGTAAGTTTTAGCACATTGCTTGGCACCTAGTGTTTGGATGATAGCTATTATTTATTAAATGCCAGTCATTAAAGATGGAAGTAGGGCTCAGTGGATAGAGTGTCGGTCTGTGGACTGAAAGGTCCCAGGTTCGATTCCAGACAAGGGCATGTACATCGGTTGTGGGTACATCCCGGGTAGGGGGTGTGCAGGAGGCAGCTGGTCAATGTTTCTCTCTCATCGACGTTTCTAGCTCTCTATCCCTCTTCCTTCCTCTCTGTGAAAAATCAATAAAATATTTTTTAAAAAAAAAAACAAACAAAAAAACATTAAAGATGGAAGTAGGATATGGTGCTTGCCCTCAAATTCCAAACCAAACAAAATTCTGAGCTCAAACTGTCCCATCAGAAGGAAAAAAATAAACCAAAAAGAAAAAGGAAATCTAAAGGCTATTACAGTTCTAAAATATATAGAATTAATTTTGCACCCATGGATAGACTATTACCAGAATATTCTAATCAATGAAGTGATTGTTAAGCAGTCATTATTTTCTCAGGCAGATTATGTGTTTTGGAACTCTAGCTATTTGCTGCGTTTCTCTAAGCTTTTTTGGGTGTTAAGAATGCTTTGTCTATGTGATCACTTCCTGTGTGTCCCTTGACTCAAGCACTGACCCAAGATCCAAGAATATTATGCCAGTGGAGGTGAGAAGCAGGTGTAAATATAAAACCAATGGACTGTTCAGAAGCCAGGCCTGTCAGCCTTAGCCAGCCTATACTCCCACTCCTCAAACTCCAGGAAATATTTTTTCTCTAACTCAGCACACCAGTGACTTAGCAGCTCACAGTGTAGTACTATGTTTATCATGGCTTTTCTCTCCTCCCAAACAAGAGTATGTGAAACTCCACAGAGGTAAGAGAGATTCAATTTGCAAGGAGGAAAAACTTGACCAGAGGGATGTTCAGTCTTCTAGAATGGCTGAAAAGGGAATAGATTCCATCGAGAAATAACCTTTGCCCTTTACATGGTTATCTCAGTTGTGATGGCATTGTGGTTTTGTGGTGGCTGGTTAATTGTGTTGGGAAGTGCTGGATTTCTGTTTTCCACTGTGCTGGAATAGCCTGAAACTCTTGTCCTGCATCTTTTTTCTCAAGATTCTCATACTAAATATATTCTCTGTTTTTTAATGTAGAAAACTATACATGATACCAAGACAACCAGTTAAACAACTAAAAAGTATAATCAAGTGGTTATTTCCTTTGCTTTACATATGGCCAAATAATAACTTTTGAGTATTTTCTTCACTCAATTGCCTCTTGTTTTGAATCAAGAAATATGCCTTTCATCTCCTTCAAATGATTTTCCAGGATCAGTGTCATTTCCTGATATCTCTTAGAAATTAAAATTAATCTTTTCATTGACTACTTGCTTAAAATTATTCTTTTATTTCTCCAAACTGACTTTTTCATAGTCATCAAAATCTTGATTTGGGTAGGCAAATTCACAGGCTCTTAGCTAATGACTTCTAAGGTGAAATTCATTTTTGAGTTCCAAATTACCCCCCCCCCCTTAAAAGATCAACAAGAAAGAAAATGAATTCGTGAAGTGAACCCTCAGATCCTTCCATAATGATGAGTGAAGTACCAACCATAGCACTACATTAATACTTAAAAGTATCTATGATAAGCTTTCAGTTCTCATGTTAGACTTCCATGTTAAGCTCTACCTGATATTAAAAGGCATATTCTAGGTTACCAGCTCACAAACAGATCTGATTGCTTGGTAGAAAAAAAAAAATATCAGGTAGAATGACTAAAGGAGCTGATGTTAGAAAGAAGGTGAGAAAATAGGAGTGAACAAAGGAGAAAAGATTCGCACCTTATCATTCAAAGATGGGAGATCAGAGTGAGCATGCGCTCTGGCCTCCATAACTGCCTTTAAGAACTAAGATATTATCATTTCAATTAGAGGTAATGACTAATCTCTGAAAGCTCAACATGAGGTGATCTCCTTACAGAGCTCATTCTGAAGACCCTTCCAGATCTAGTGCCTCCACAGATCTATCGATACTCACAGGAATTCATCTCATGATTACTTTTTAATGTAACTTAAAGATGCCCAAAACCATACTGTTGGTTTCTTTCTTTTTTTTTTTTTTTTTTTTTGAATGTCAAAACACAAATTTTTATTTCTTAGTTTTCTTTGAGAAATACTCTTGATTTTAAAATGCAGGAAATAAATAAATATTGACTATACTCATGTAAGCAATCTCACTAAGCACTTGTGGCATAAAGGTCCCATATGTTACATCTCTCTCCCTGGTATATTTCAAAATCAAATGCCATATGGAACTTGACTTTATTTTTAAGTAGTGACTTCTTTTCCTTGGACTGAATTTTGTTCCATTTATTTTAAAATGGGAGTTAAAATAAACTTTGGCAAACCACCAGCTGACTGCAAATGAATTTAATGCAACCTCGCTCCAATATTAACATTTTCACAAGCCATAGTAGGCGGCCCCTTGCCGTCTTTTCATTATCTTTTCCAACCATGGCTGCAAGCCCAAATGATGCCACTTTACCAAAGAGATGCCTGTACGTGTTTTCTACTTTAATCACATCCCTTCAACACCACGAATCCTCAGCTGACAGATTATCTTCTCCACAGGCAGGCAGCCATATCCAGACCTTGATGGGGTCCCAAAGCCTTCAGCATCGTAGCCGGGAGCAGCAGCCATATGAGGGAAATATAAACAAAGTGACCATCCAGCAGTTCCAGTCACCATTGCCTATTCAGATCCCCTCTTCACAGGCCACCCGGGGACCTCAGCCTGGACGGTGCTTAATTCAAACTAAAGGGCAAAGGAGTATGGATGGCTATCCAGAGCAGGTGAGAAGAGATTTCACAATTGATGTATGTTCAGGAAATCCCAATGAATCTGTGGTTTGTCTTCCCTCGTTAATGTAGTATGGCACACATTAATACTGTCACCATGTTGAGTAGAGTGCAGCACACTATTTTATCATTATTTTTAGTGGTTAAGAACACCAACCTATAGGAATGGATGGTTGGGAAAATTCCCATTGTACATAAGGAAAAGTTGATGGATCAAAACAGTTTTCCTGGTTTATCCTACCCCCTCCCCTCCCCACTCCCCACTCCAATTTAACTCTACAGCACAGCTTTGGGATCTTACAAAGAGCTTCAGAGGACTAGGTGTGGTTACCAAGGCCTCTGGTGAAATTGACTGTGAAACATAAACTGTATATTCCTCTCTATTTGTGGCATTGTTTTTTTAAAAGTCCTATCTTCTGATTGTTGAATAGTACAGAGATAAAGTTTTCTATGAAGAACATTATAAACAATAGTTAGAAGGGAAATATTTCTGAAATGCTCCAAAAGATACTGATAAATGTCATGTAGCACAAAAATAAATAAATAAATAAATAATGCTGCTCTTCTGACCTATCTAAAAGTAGAATTTGCTTTTCCATTATAAGGACCTGTTTTCTTCCTTAGAACCAGAAAACTGAATAAGATGCCACCTATTGAGTTACATTATGCTTAAAAAGTAAAACATCAAGGTCTTAATGTTCATATAAAATTAGTGTGTATCTTTTGATCATTCAGATAATTAGGCAAAGCTGACTTTGCCCACTAACTTCACTAAATCTTTAATATGGTATATAAAGGTTTCACTTTATTATTAACTCAAAGCTTCACATATTACCCACCTTATTGTCTGAATGTTTCAGACAAGATTATCTTCATTTTCTAGTTTTTCCCTTTCTGTTGTTAAGAGCCATTTATTATTTGGATCCCGGTGGTCTAGACAGATCCTCTATTTCTTAAAACCCTCTTGAAGCTGAGATTATGTACTAATCATTCTCCAAATTATAGATATTTTTAAAAATAATTTTTTCTCTATTCTGCCTTGATCTAGGCCGAGTGTTTGATTTAAGGGAAAATATATCAGACAGGTGCTTTTAATGAGGTAATGATGTGAGAGGCTTTTAATTCTCCAGAGATTCTAAAAAGTTAATGAAGTTTTAAATTATGTTTTATTAAAGACATCTAGAAGGTTAAAAATTGCTCATATCTTCTCCCTCACAAATATTATAATCTCAACTCTGTTCTCTGATTTGGTTCATCCTAATAACAGCTATGTGTTTGTTTTCTGTGAGAATCAATGCATTTAAAAATTCACTGAAACAATAAAGGTTATGGTTTTTTTTTTAATTCACGGAGATCAATACCCTCTACCGTATTTTTCGGACCATAAGACGCTCCGGACCATAAGACGCACCAGTTTTTAGAGAAGGGAAATGAAGAAAAAAAGATTCTGAAACAAATAGTGTCCTAAAATATTTTATGTGGATTAAACCCAACATCACAGTCATAAACACATGTAATCAACCTTGTAAAGTAAACAGCAGCATTTAGAACCATTTTAGAGCCGGGCAAGCACACAGAGACCACACAGAGCCGGGCAAGTAAAAAAACTTTTTTTTTAAAGTATATGTGTAGGCTATATTTGGACCATAAGACGCAGGGACTTTTTCCCCCCGCTTCTGGGGGAAAAAAAGTGTGTCTTATGGTCAGAAAAATACGGTATTTTCACCTACCTTGAAGAGTAAGTTTAGTATTAGTGTGCATTTACTCTGAACACTCTAAATTTAAAGACCATTTTTACATTATCCCTCCAATAACACAAAAATTTTATAGTTTGACTAATGAGTGCATTACTAAATTTTAAAGTTTACATGTTTGTTAAATTTATTTATTTGGTGGGGAGGGGAGGAAGAGAGAAGGAGAGAGAGAAAAACATCCATGTGAGAGGATAGCATCTACTGGCTGCCTCTTGCATGCCCCCTACTGGAGATTGAGTCCAGAACCCAGGTATGTGACCTGATCTGGAATTGAACCAGCAACATTTTGGTGCACGGAATGATGCCCAACCAACTGAACCACACCAGCCAGGGCATTGCTTATTAAATGTAAAACATCATGATTCAGAGACTGTATTTAGAATCACTTACAAGTGTTTTGATTCACCCTCGAGAAACATCAAATGCCTTTCAAACTGAGAAGTAAAAACTTGAACATTCCATTGTTACATTAAAGAAGGGCCTTAAGTATTAAAGAACTCCTGCGCTCAGAAGAGCCCCACACTTTGTTTAATACTCTGCTGTCTCCAACTCTTAATTCTTAACAACCTGTGAACAAAGAGCCTCACATTTACATTTTGCACCAGGCTGCAGCAATTCTATAGCTGATGCTGCTTATACATGTTATTTCATTTAATCCTCACAATAGTTTTATTTTCTTTTTACAGATGAATCTCTAGGGTACAGAGAAAATAAGTAACTTGACATAAATATAACTGGTCAGGCTGTAAATTGAACCCAGGTTTATCTAACCCAAAGCCCAAATTCTTTGTCCAAACCTTCCTATTCAGTTAGCAACAAACCCAGCCAGTGTTGCCCAGTGGTTGAGCATTGACCTATGAACAAGGAGATCATGGTTCTTTTCCCAGACAGGGTTTCAGGCTGGATCCCCACTGCGAGGCATGCAGGAGGCAGCCAATCAATGATTCTCTCTCATCGTTGATGTTTCTCTCTCTCCCTCTGCCTTCCTCTATAAACTTAACAAAAAAATATATTTAAAAATCAAGTAAATTAGTGCATGACCTAAGATACTGCCTATTGTGGCACAGACCAGACGTTTCGAGTGAAGTCACATGATGAAAACAGACTCTGAAAGAAACAAATGCACCACTGACTGGCTGGCTGCTGCTTAGATCTTCATTTGTTGTTTTCCATATCTTAATAAAAAAATTGAAATGCTGATCCCCACTAAATAAGCTATTTATTAGCCTCCTAGATCTGACTTTTTGCTAGAACACTGCATTTCCTCTTTGATAATTCTATTTGGTTTCTGACTGTTTCTTAGCTGTGAGATATTCTCTCATCTTTTCATGGCCCCTTTGGGCCTTACCAAGGCAGGTGAAACTCTTTATATGAGAGATGAATACTCTCTCTGACATGCTTTATGGGACACAACAGTCACAACACAACCTATTAGCCACACCACAACATACCCAAGGGTAGTCTAGCTTCAGATAAGAATTTATGGTTGTCACATTTATAAAATCACAGTGTCATCTTTATTATTTCTAATATTAAAAAATATATTGAGGCAGTTCTTCATCTACTTGGCACATGTGAAATTTATTTCCTTTAGATTTTTAGTGCCTTCCAGATTGACAATAATATAAAATGGATATAGTCACTGCCTTGCAGGAGAAGGACTAGGAAGTATTCACAACAATTTACTTTATAAATAAATATGTTGCCTATGTTTCCTTTCAGGTTTTTTAGTGGCCTGGGGAAATATAACTTCTATATATTATCATTGTGCAATATAAAATTTTTATATTAGAAAGAAATAACCTAAATCTTAAATAATTTAATTAGAAATGCACAGAAATATGGGAAAACACAAAGATAAAATATTTAAATCATCTTAAGTTCCGTTCTCCTCATTTCTAATCTATATACTAGTAATAAAAGTGTAAGCGACCGTTATGGTGGAACCACCAGAACAACTGGTCACTATGATGTGCACTGGCCACCAGGGGGCAGATGCTCAATGCAGGAGCTGCCCCCTGGTGGTCAGGGCGCTCAGCCAGAAGCCAGGTTCATGGCTGGTGAGCACAGCTGCCATGGCGGGAGCCTCTCCTGACTCCGTGGCAGCACTACTGAGAGGTGGCATCAGGTGCAGCGGGCCGGAATGAGCATGAGCAGCATGGCATCTGGCCCCAATTCTGGCTCCTCCCTGCCACTTGGTGCACTGCTACATCCTCCAAGGGGTCAGGACTGCAAGAGGGATGTCCCACTGGCGACTAAGGTTGATCCCAATGCCATTCTCTATAGAAGGCAGTTAGTCTGAACAACTCAGTGACTCAGGGAAGTGCAGGAACTCAGAGCCTGCCTCCGCACATGACTCACCCACTCAATGGTGTCCACAGGACAGACCGTGGTGGCCCAGCCCATGCACGTGCAGCAGCTACTGAAACTCAAGCAGCAGGCCCTGCAGCTGCAGAAGGCCCTCCAGCCACAAGCCAGCAGTCGGACATATCCCAAGGTGTCCTGGACTACAAGGGGGTGCAAGCCAAGCTGAGGGAGCCCCCCACCCCACTCCTGCACAAATTTCGTGCACTAGGCCTCTAGTTAACCAATAACAACCCAAAAGGACTACAGAATAAACTGGTATTTTGAATAAAGCTAAAATATTCCTTGGAGCTGCATCAAGTTATCATTTGTTCATATTCACAGATTACGAGCCTTATAAATACAAAACTGCTATAAACTGTACTTTCTATCACAGCCTGATAACCAGTTTTAAGAAATCTAGCTCAATTCAAGGAAAAGTTGTAATTAAACATATCTTTAAAATAAAAATCTTGGAGAGTACTTCTGGCAATTGCAGTTTCCCATAATTTAGAAACTATTCATTACGGACTCTACCATAAAAGTTACATTAGCAGATAGTTTTTGCCTTTGTGTTGCAAGTGAACTGTGTAATACTTAAATGTTCTACTCATTATTATGAAATATGATAGTGAATTCAGAATAGTCCCATTAAATGGCTAAGCCTAATTGACCTAGTTCCTAAAGACTCACAATATGCTGATTAAGTCAGGACTAAGGCTCAAATTTGCCTTGAATCATCTAAGAGTTAGTGATTAAAGATACCTCAAAAATAAAAATATAGAGACCATTTGGGGCATTTGCATTTGCCCATAAGCAAATTAATAGGCTGTGCAAGATTGCTGGGGAAAACATCAAACTACTTAAGAAAGTAAACATTTCTAATCATCTTTAAGAAAGAGGTTGTTTTTTTTTTAACAGTATGGAGTTTCCTCAAAAAGTTAAAAATGGAACTCCCATTTGACCCAGTAATCCCACTTCTGGGACTATATCCCAAGAAACCAGAGACACCCATCAGAAAGAATATATGCACCCCTATGTTCATAGCAGCACAATTTATAATAGGTAAGATTTGGAAACAACCTAAGTGTCCATCAGCAGATGAGTGGATTAAAAAACTGGTACATCTACACAATAGAATACTACACTGCTTTAAAAAAAAAAAAAAAAAGGAACTTTTATCATTTACAGCAGCATGGATGGAACTGGAGCATTATACTAAGCAAAATAAGCCAGTCGGAAAAAGATAAATATCACATGACCTCACTCATAATGATCAACATAAACTGATGAACTAAAATAGATCCGGAGACAAGGGGCAGGGGAGCAGGGGGGGGAAGGAGGGGATAGAATCAACCAAAGGACTTGTGTGCACGAATATTAGCATAACCAAAGGACGCAGACACGGGGCAGTGGAGGCTTGCCCTAAGGGGTGGGGAGTGGCTAGGGGGGGGTCAGTAAGGGGGAAGGAGCACATGTAATACTTTAAACAAAGTTGTTTTCTTTCTTTACCCAACCAAACTTTATGCTAACTCTGGGCTCTGTCTTTCAGTCACCTAGGATGACTCATTACACATAAAAAACTAGCATTTGCACTAAAGACCACACACACACAGCCCCAACCCAGGATCAGCAAAAATTTCTAAGTTTGTTATACAGTTGTTTTTCTAGATCATTTCTGGTACTCATTTCCCTCCAATGGAATTCTTGATCTACATTCTTTTATCAATTCTTATCGTGACTGTCATTCTTACGAGTCTTATTACAAGGTGGACCTGCTCCCAATGCTATCATTTTCCCATAGCTCTATAAAGCACAAGGATCTTGTGTTTAACAGACCTTCATTGATGGTTTTGGATTTGGGAAGGTAATATAGCACAGAATGCTAAACTATTAGCCCTCCAGTCCTAAATATTTCTTGACTATTCCTGTCACAAATTGTTTTTCCATATTCTTGACCTCTCTTTTTCAGTGTTCTTCCTCTAAGACCCCTAACTGCTTTGCCAGAAACTGCTGCTAAAGCTAAAACTCTCTTTACTGAATATTTCATTTTTCCTCAAACTCAAGTTATGGCCAAAAGTTTTCCCCTTTCTCAAGCTAAAAGTCCCACTGTTTCTAAACAAATGAATTCTCTACCAAGGAGATGAATTGTATGACTCACCTAGGAAGTAGTAGCAACTTATATAAAGAGCCATCTTTTCCCCTAAATCTACATTTGCAAATTTTCTTTTACTTATTTATACATCCTTTCAAGTTAGTTAGAATATGTGTGCATTTAAATTAGATAATTTAAATAATTCACAATCTTTTTGTTATAAGGCTTTTAACTTTTAAATCTGCTAATCAAAATTTAGTCTTGCACACAGTTATAAATGAATACTTACTAATGTCTGCTTGCCAGGTATTTTCAAGCTAATTTCATTTATAACTGATGCCTATAGAAGCACTAAATACTATTTTGTCAGAGTTGATACTGTCTTATGTACCAAATTAACATAAACTATCACTGAGAACTTAAGTGAAATGTGAATTTTTCCTACTGGGATGCAGTTATTTGGAGATATTTGGTTTTAATATGCATTTGATTATTTTTTTATATCTTTTTTACATAGTTTTGTGTGAGAATAGAAAAGAATCCTGGCCTTGGATTTAGCATCAGTGGTGGAATTAGCGGACAAGGAAATCCATTTAAACCTTCTGACAAGGTAAGAAGTCAATTTCTTATGGACAATTTTAATTAGAAAAACAGTCTTTTACTGCAGAAAAAAAAAAGGTTGGAAAAAAATGTTAAGATTTTTATTGTGCTTTAATAAGCTAGCTGACTATAAAGCCAATTAGAAACATTTTCAGCCCTGGGAAAAAGAATTCACTGCAATGCTTGACAAATCCTAAGAATAAAAATAAATAAATGTAAGCATTCTCTTTGAAAGGAAACTTGTTTTGCCTTTTGTTTTGTTCACAATTGTATAGATTTATAAAGAATGTTATTCAGGCAATTTCTAATAAGTTGTGTCCCAATGTTTATTTGTAGACCACTTATTTAGGAAGATGTTTTTTTGTAGGATCAGAATAATTAAATTATGATTCAATGCCAGGGCCAGTTGACTGATATCTCTTTAATTCATCATGTTTATAAAGTATTTCACTAATAGAATCATAGAACTTTAAACCACAGAAAATAAAAATTCTGTGAGAAAATCAGAATTAGCCATGGCTGAGGAATCTGGTCCTCCTTTGGTGCTTACCTCTGTTTGTCAAACCATAGGTAAAGTTTGGCCACCACCCCCATACTAACCTCAGTTATTGCGTGAACATCTGACATGCTGCCCATGCTCACATCTGGCCTGTCTGATCCCATGGTGGGCCACCTGACCTTTTATTTTAAAATGTTTATCCTAAGCCACATAACCTGTCCTGCTACCATCATTGTTTCATATTCTCAGCTTTGAATCAATTAGTAACTATAATTTGATGATAATTGAAATTATTTGCTTTTGACCTAATCAATTTAATTGCATTAAGTGGCCTGAGAAAACTTTAGGGTGATGAAGAAAGCCAGAAATTAGATATGAATACAACCTCCATAGCTCTCTATCTACTTTTAAGTTGCAACCTGGTGCAGATCCTTTCTACTCACCATTAAAAAAAAAAAAAAAAAAAAAAAAAAAAAAAACCCACACATCAATTTCTGATCATTAAGACCTGTTTCTGAAAAATCTCTGGTGTCCTTACTCTGGAAATTTCTGAAGCCTTAAACCGGGCCCTTAATCCTTTATTTTCCTCCACTTCTTCCCAATCTTGCTTCCTATGATTCTTTCTTAAATATTTTTTAATTGATTTCAGGGAGGAAGATGAGAGGAAGAGAGAGATAGAAACATCTATGATGAGAGAGAATCATTGATCGGCTGCCTCCTGCACGCCCCCCAGTGGGGATTGAGTCTGCAACCCAGGCATATGCCCTGACCAGGAATCAAACCATGACCTCCTGGTTTATGAGTCAGTGCTCAGCTACTGAGCCACACTGGCCCAGCCCTACCATTCTTTCCATCCTTCTTCCTTTCCTTTCTGGAGGAAAAAAAGGGAGAGAGAGGAAGAGGTTGAAGCAAAAGGATGACACTATACACATTAGGATGGAAGAGATTGGAAGGAAATCCTCAGTGGCCATAAATGGGAGCTCCTTTGCTCAGCTGGTTGGAGCAGTTATTCTATATAATAAAAGGCTAATATGCAAATTGTCCCCTTGACTGGGATTTTGACCAGGAGTTCAACCAGAGGGTGGGGTTAGCTGGCCAGCTGCCCATGACCCCTCCTACAAACCCCATGGCCACTCCCCCTGGCTGGTCCCACCCTCAATCAGCTCCTCCCACCCCAAACAGGGGCAGGACCTGCTGGCCAACTGCTTGTGGCCCCTTCCCCCAGCTGGGTGGGACCAACCTGCCAACTGCCCACAGCCCATACCCCTGGCCACTCCGACCCAATCAACCCCAATCGGGATGGGCCAGCCAGACCTTACCCATGCACAAATTCGTGCACTGGGCCTCTAGTCTATACTATATAATAAAAGAATAATATGCAAATTGGCCCTAACAGTGGAACAACCAGGAATGACCAGTCGCTATCAGGCACACTGACCATCAGGGGGCAGACTGTCAATGCAGGAACTGCCCCCTGGCGGTCAGTGTGCTCCCAAAGGGGGAGTGTCACTCAGCCAGAAGCCAGGCTGACAGCTGCGAGCACAGTGGCAGTGGTAGGAGCCTCTCCCACCTCCTTAGCAGCACTTAAGGATGTCCATGGAGAGCTGCCCTAAACCATCAGTTGGATATCTCCCAAGGGCTTCTGGGCTGCCAAAGGGATATCTGACTGCCAGCTTAGGCCCGATTCCCTCAGAAAGTGGGCCTCAGCCAGCAGGTGGACATCCCCCAAGGGGTTCTGGACTATGAGAGTGCAGAGGCCAGGCTGAGGGAGGACCCCCCACCCATGTGCATGAATTTCATGTACCAGGCCTCTAGTGTGTGTGTGTGTGTGTGTGTGTGTGTGTGTGTGTGTGTGTAGCCTAAGCAACCAAACAACCAAATGACCAGTGGGCCAGTTGCTATGATGCACACTGACCACCAGGGGACAGACACTCAATGCACAGGATTGGCTCCCTCCTGTATGGATTGGGCCTGCAGGGTTTGGGCTTCCTTCTGTCTAGATTGGGCCTGTTGGGATCAGGTTCTCTCCTGTCTGGATCGAGCCTGCAGTATTGGGCCGAAAAAAGTCTATCTGACATCCCCTGATTTCAGATTGTGAGAGAGCGCAGGCCAGGCCGAGTGCACAAATCCATGCACTGGGCCTTTAGTTTATGTATAAGAATGTGTATGAGCCCTATATATTTAGGGGAATGTCAGTTATAAAAGCTTGTGCATGAGCATTTTTATTTTGAAATGCTGTTGAGGAAAACCATCCACTCAATAGATTTTAAATATTCATGGTTTAGTAGGACCACTTGTTTACTGAATTTTAACAAATTATCTCAATATTAATATACCTTAAAGGAGGTAGATAGATAGGGTCTAGGAGAAGGTGGAAAGGGGAGAGAATGAAAGATATCCATAATATCAACAATAAAAATATTTTTAAAACATATATAACTTAAGATAAAAAATATGAAAGTTCAAAATTATTAGAAACATATGACAATATTTTTAAAAGCCTCAAATAATTCTGTCTTTCTCTTCTTAACACCTCTTTCAGTTTTTGGTTTTACATGTCTTCCATAAGTTCTTTCAATGAAAAGTTAATAACCTTATCATTCTGAAGATAGTTGAAATTCAAAAGACATGTTTTTCTCTTTCTTTTGCACTAGCATAAACATCTTTTCAATACAGTATTAGAAGTCACAATGCAATAAATATTTTTAAATTAAGAGTGAACAGATTGCTAAGTTGCCAAGAGGTCTAAATGCTATTCCTTTTTTACTGTTATTTTCAATGAAGGAGACAGTAGATGTGAGGCTTTCAAATAACTGCCTGTAATTCTTCCACTCTGAGGAATCTGAACACTTTATAACTATTACTTTAATCTCTCATTTGTAACATTTTGATGGCTAGTGAGACAGAACTATTTCGATCATTTTATAATTTGCTCTTTTAGTTAAACGTAATAGATATAGAGTTGAATTGTATAATGTGTCCATTGAAATATTTTCCCTCAAAAGCACTTTGCTTTGCCTGATTACTCTCTAAAACACTTCACAATCTGAAAAGTGAATCTCTATTATTGCAAAATTGGTAATTAAAAGTTCCATACCAACAGAAGACTCTCAAAACTGCCATTAATGTATTGACTACTTTGGTGTCATGCCAAACACATAGTACATACTTACTTAACAGTGTTCAGAGGATTGCCCTGGCCAGTGTGGTTCATTTGGTTCAATTCCCCGTGAGGGCAAATATCTAGATTGAGGGTTTGGTCAAAGTGGAGGCAAATAATCAATGTTTCTCTCACACATTGATATTTCTTTCTCTCCCTCTCCCTTAGTCTCTCTCTCTAAAAATCAGTAGAAACATTTAAAAAAAAAAAAAATGTACCAAGCAGTAAGAAAATGAACTTTAAAAATACCTTTCTCTGAAAAAAAAAATTTTTTTTTTTCAGGAGTTGGCTATTTTACAGCTAGGGATGAGAGAAGCAAATTAAACAGATGTTTAAATTCAACAGATACTACCTGAGTTGGAGGTGGATCCTTTGTAAAAAGTCCTAGTCATGCAAAAGCTTAAATTTAATATGAGCCATACTCCCTTCCAATAAACAAGTCATGGATTAGAAATATCCTCAGAAGTAACTATCTTATTTTACTTACTGTTCATGAATGTTTGAAAGTTTTGTAATGCCACTCAAAATTCTAAGTATCCATGATATTTGAATTTCTTAGAGACTTTAGGACTTCCTCTACTAATGTAGCCAAATAGATTTGTCCCATTCTCTACATTATGATTGATGGAAACCACTGTTTCAGCCAAATGCCAATGGCCATTGTGAGATAGCACACAAATGACTATCCAGCATATAGCCAAATAAGGAAAGCATGAAGTTGTCATCCCGAAAGGCGGAGAGTGTGGGACTACAGCAAAAGTGAGCTGTGTTGTTCGATCTGGCAGAAGTCCCAATTTATATTCTGTGGGAGCATTAAGATTCTTGCAGAAAAACCTTTGGGACAGCCCAAACATTAACTGAGGCTTTAGGGAGAATTCAGGATTAAGACTATACAGGCACTCTTTTGAGCTAGACTGAGAGCTTAGAACGGCATCTGATCTTGCAAACCTAACTTATCTTAAAGAACCCAAAGTAGTACTAATCAATTATTGCCTCCTTTGGTTAAATGGATAAAGCACAATTAGTCCTGTGGTTCATATCATTGTCAAAACAATGGTTAGTAGTTGAACAAACCAATTCCCTCATCATGGAATTCATTATTTTGACTTGAAAAGAGAAAACTGATTAAAACTAGCCCTCCCTAATGCTTGCCTCTGCCCTCCCACTAAAGTGGATGGAAGCCATGGTCAGGTTCATTATTACGGAGAAGCATTGCTGTTGAGATAGCAAGTTACTGAAGAGAGGTGAAAAATTTTGATCCAACAAATATGATGTTAGCAATAAAAGTAATAAAAATAATAATATTTTGTTAAGTGTCTACTGTATTAGGTTCTTCATATACATAAAGTTA